TCATTCAGAATTCATTAGATTTCATTCATGAAAATGTTTTTATTATGCGAGAACGTTTTCGTCTGTAATTTGCGTCGTTGTGCCTTAATCTGCCTGCTCTGTGGTGTTAGCGTATATATAGGTGTGTGTGTGCGTGCGCGCCTGCGCTTAATGACCTCCAATAACTGCGAATTATGAATGTGATTAGATAGTGGCTGTCCAATTGAGTGTCCATTACGTTCGATTGGATGGAGTCATCCGAAGGTGTTGAGGTGCAGTTTCGACATAGCGCCAAATTACCATTATTATAGATCTTCCATGTTATGCTACGACCCCCTCTACCTTCTGCGCGCTCCGTAACGTCAATGCGCCACCCGCTTACCACGGCAGAGGCTTTGTTTGCTTTTCTTTTTTTCAACTTCTCAATTGTGTTTGACCATAAACGTAAATAACGCGTTGTGTTCGTAAGCCTTTACATGCAGCATTGGTGTATGTGTGTATGTGTTGCACGTTGTGTTGCGCAGTAGCTGCGGCTTCAGGCAATTTCGTCTCGCAATTTCTTTGGCTGACAATATTATGTTGCACGTTGGCATATGCAGATTACGAGCGCATGTGTGTGTATATATATTTCTGGAGTTTTTTTGTTGGGCGTTCGCATTGGCTGCAATTGCATGCAGATTTGCTGCTACTAGATGATTATGGTTATTGTGCTTAATGTTTGTTTAGCGTACCGTTTGCTTATCATGTTGCTAATTTGCAATTTCTGCACTAATACTATGTTAGTGTGCGATAGAAAAAATTGATTAAAATATATATGAGGCAATGAATATGTGTTTTTAGGAACTTCAATTGTTGCTAATATTTTTTTCTCTTTTTGGAATGATTTCATGGCGGTATAGAAGGCGTAGGTTTGAATAATGATTGCTTGTTATTTAAAGGCCCATATAAAGGGTGTTTTTTCAGACATGTGGTTATCAATAAGAAATAAAACGCGACTTCACATAACCCGACAAAAAGTAGTCCAGCGGTGTTAAATCGCACGATCTTGGAGGCCTCGACGCAATATAATGCGCTCACCAAAATTTTCCCTCAATAAATCGATTGTTTCCGAGCGATGAGACTAGCTACTTTTCTTTTAGCACAATCAGAGTTTACTAACTAGTAAAAATAATATGGTTCATAATATTTTGACAAAAAAAATAATAAAAAAAAAATTTTAAGGTTGTTACCAAGGGACCTACCTCTTTCAAATAAAAGCGGTCATAATATTAACGAGAAGTTCTGAAAAAGGAGCATGGGCGAAGAGAAAGAGACACTGACCTACTAGGCAGCTCTCTGTGGACAAAGTTAAGATTATGCTGATAATATGCACAAGCCAGTTAAGGAAAAAGAAACACTTGCACAATGTTGGCATAGTCTCATCAGTTTGCTGTGTCTACTAACATATAGAGGTTGAAGCACTCATTAAAGGCAAGCAATTAATTTATTAGAGTGCCTAGGTTTGGAGTAGCTTTATTATTCTCTCTCTTCTTCATATTTAAAAAGGGAGGGAATAATAGAGCACAGATCGCTGTAAAAGTCAGAATTATCTGTTATCTGTTTTTCGAAATGAGTTCTTAGTTTAGTCGATGGAAATTTTGAAGCGTTGTCTTAAATACTGAAGCAAATATAATAAAACTAGGGTCTTCTAGAATTTGGCACGTCCAGCACAGTAAATTAGTCTTTCAACTGCACCGCGTTACTTACTAAATATACCCACATATCAATTAATTATTGCTGATGTTTGATTTGTTTTCAGCATTTTTAGAATCTTATATATTGTTGAAGTGTTATTTAAAATTATTGTAAGTATCGATTTCAATTTCTCAAGAAAATGGTCGTAGAAGAAGACTCGCCCAGACTTTCGAAGATAGAGATCAGACCTGTTACAGATATGATATCGAAAATATGGAAGTTGGGTATCAGCGATGCCTGTGTTAAATGAAAACTAGAAAAAATCGGTTGCACCGAAGCTATAATAACCTTTACAAATACAAAATATTTCTTACAAGAATTTGATTTTGAGCAGACTGTTTGGCAGCTAAATGCTATGGTAATCCGATCTAAAAAATCCTGCGGAGCATTACTACTAAATTTGTTGAAGAATTCTCTTCAAATTAAAAAGTTTTCCATACAAGCACTTTATTCCGATCGCTCAGTTTGTATGGCAGCTATATGCTATAGTGATTCCGACTAATTAGCAGCTTCTTGGAGAGAAAACTCAAAAACTCAGGGACTATTTCGCGTATATACAGGCAGAAGGACATGTCTAAATTGACGCAGCTTGTTTGTTGATCATTAATATATATATATTTGATATTGTGTCCGATGTTTTCTCTGCTGCAATAAAATGTATTTTACTTTATAAAATACGAAATTTTCTTATTTAACACAAATCGAAGAAATATTAACGTTTCTTTTGCAAATTATACCTATTGTTAAGAAGTTAACGCCATTCTGGCCTTTAAATCACACAAACAACAAAGAAAATTTTATGCGAACACACGTTGTCTCGTGCTCTGCCTTTGTTTACATATACTATGTAATATATGTATCCGAAGACGTGTTCATAATCTACGTCAGGAATCATAAAGAAATTTGATATGCTTGCTAAATGCGTGAAAATTATACAGTTAAATAACAATAACAACATAAAACTGACAAACAGATGAATGAAACAAAGCAACGCAATGCAGACAGACAGACAGATAGACAGAAGGACTTACGCAGCGCTTAAATAAATAGCAACACTTGTCATGGGGCAATTTGCATATTTTGCCACATCTCACATATAAAACAATAATTTGCAATCAGTTGGCAGTGATCGCGCGTTGAGAACACATTAACTGAGCGTGAGTGGTGCTCGGGCACAGCAGAATTGAGGCAGACATTTGTGCGAAGCTTTAAGTTCTTTTTATTGCAGACTCCACTTGCTTTTGGCTATAATGATTAAGCTAGAGGTTGAACCCAAGAATATATATGTATATATTTACCTCGAACCGCGCTCATTTGCATCGCTGACCTGCGCTGGTGCCAGTGCGCCTCTTGACGTTCGTCGTCGTCGCCGCCGTTTAATGGTTGCGACCACTCAATGCTGCCACATTCCAAATGGCGTACGAAATTTGTCATCAACTATCAGCTGCCATTTAGCCAATTCTAGTCGTACCTTATTTTCACTTTGAATGTCTTTACTTTGCAGCGAGTCTTTAGCATCTGATAAAATGTGGCCAGTGTTTGTGCTGTGGGATCGTTGCTGACTCGTCTGCCAGTGCCACGACAAGGAGTTCACCAAAAAACCAAAACGAAAAAAAAAACGGAAAAAAAGCAAGGCACTGAAACATTCTTTCAAGGTAGTTTCTTCAAAAAAGTGAAGTTAAAGTAGTTTTGTGGAAAAAACAGCGGTGAGTTCACTACTTGCTGCCGCCAGTGACGCGTCCACGGTTTTTGTGTCAGCCGCTAGCCTTTAGACTTGCTCGATATTTCTATGTTTTATTTCTTTTAGACTTCCTACTAAACAATTTTATTTTTTACTCAATATACATGGCATCACTAGGTAGAGCTTGTGTCCAGTTGAGTTTTGATCTTGGCCTCGTGTTTTTGTTTTTTATTATTTTCATAAACTTTGTTTATAAAACCGTCTTTTGTTGTCAGCCAAATTTGTAGGCCGCTTAGTTTGTTGCTTAATTCCTTCTTCTGTTGCTACAATTTCTATGTACTCTATGTTTTTTTTTTTCGTTTCATACACGTACATACTTGGTTTGTGCTGTGCTCTGCTCAGTCTTCTTGTTTGCTTTCGTTTTGTGGCGGACATCAAAATGCTGGCTAATAAAATGTGACAGCCACAGCTAATGAATCGGCGCAGTGACAGCGCGGCGTGCAGCAGGGCCAACCGAAATGTATGAGGCAGCCGATCGCCAGCAACGAGCGATATTTGAATTTCGTTGATTTTTATTTTCTTAATTTTTTGCTTTTGTTATGTTTGGCGTAATTTAGTGTTGTTGTTGTTTAAGTTTTCTGCTTTAAAGGTGACTTTAGCTTTTCTGTAGTCTCAATCTTACGGTCACACTGCGATTCGTTGCGGTTACCGTAGCATACCTGCGCGCATGCGCCACCAGTCACTTATCCATTGCTGATTTGCTATTTGCATGTATATTTGTGTGCGTGATCGTGCCCCAAACGTTTTATGGCATTGTTTTGCTTTCTTATTCCCTTCTGTGGTTTTTCTTACTGTCCATTTCATATTGGCGTTGTTTTTTTTTCATTTCATTGTTTTATTGATTGTTGCACCGTTAACGCTGCATGCCGCGCATCAACAACCATAATCGAATTTTCTTTTCTTTTTTGTAGACAAACCCCCATTATTTGTTTTTGGCTGTTGTTGTTGTTGTTGCGACAACAGCTCCATCGACTTCACTCGACCATCTCACACGACCCTATACCGGTAACCGAGTAGGTACTATATATTGTTGTTTTTGTTATTTTAGTTGTTTTGTAGTTCAGCGTGTCTGCTAGCTTCCTTGATCGCGCTGTCCGTCTGTCCGTTGCACGCTGGCGTATCTGAAATCTGACTGTGATAAATTGAAAATTAATGAAGTGAAAATAGATGGAACGGATCGCAAATTGCGCCGGGCCAATAAAATATTTTGACATTTGGAGTTATCGTCTTAATCTGCTTGGCTGACTCGAGTTGACCGCGTCAATACTGTTGCTTGGTGTGGCTGGTATGTCGACAGCGTGTGGATTTTTTTTTTTATCGAAAGTACGTGCTTCTTCTTGCGCTGGCAAGGGTATGAATGTCTTGTTAGCGGGTTTTTGATCGGTGCTACTAAAGTTTGTTTTTGTTGCGCACTATTGCTTTGCATAGCCGTTTCACAAATCACCTGCTCTTGCAACATTTCTCCAATACTTTTACTTATCGCTTTATGCGCCATTTAATTTCATAAAATTTCAATTTCCTTACTCATTTTACTTCCAACTTGCAGTTACTCAACGGTGTTGCACAGTCAGCAGCCGCCGCCGCTGCCATTTCCAACGGTATGTCGGCCAACAGCATCGGCATCGTTAGTGGCAGCGCACCGTCACCGCTTTCTGGCGGCAATGATGCATCACTCAGCCCATCTGGCGGCTCGTCGGCGACCACAACTGGCGGTGTCACAACTACTGGACCGCTTAGTCCAGGTGCAATTTCGCAAACTTCAAATAATACAAACAACAATAATAACAGCGGCTCTAACTCAGCCGGCCTCAGCATACTGCATAGCAGCACCGCCAATGCAATCGGTTTGAGTTTGAGCCTAAATGCAGATGTCAGCGGTAGCGAGGGTGATGTCGGCATGGGTATTGATGGTGCAGGCGCCGCTGCCACAAATGTGTCCGCTATCAATGATGGCACTACGCCCTGCTGTGAGAATGGCCGCCCCATCATAACAGATCCCGTCTCTGGGCAGACAGTCTGCTCGTGCCAATACGATTCGGCGCGCTTGGCGCTCTCCGGCTACACACGCATGCCCGGCGCTGGTGCGTCAGCCGGTGTCGGCGTTGGTGTTTATGGCACGCCCTATCCATCAAGTGAGCAAAATCCCTATCCCAGCATTGGCGTGGATAGTTCGGCGTTCTATTCGCCGCTGGTAAGTAGTTGTTGGCTATTTTATTACGGTATTATACGTTGTAAATACGTGCGTATATGCGTGTGTGTATGTGTTACGTAAATCGTTAAGGTTTAATTGGATTATCATTTGTTCGCTTTTGTGGTTTGTGTACGCTGAAAGTACGATCCTTTCGTTATGCAAATAGGCAGCGGTCAGCAGGCAGCATTTGGTTCGCGCGTGCGCCGTCACTGCTTACTGACGCGACTGTACTGACAAGATAATTGAATTGAGCTTTTTGACATTGAAGTGCGGATTATGTGGTTTTGGAAATAGTCGAACCGTTTGTACTCAATTGAGTTATTGTGCGCCGAAAATAAATTTATAGTGAAAATTGAATGTGTCAAAGTCAGGCTTAGTAAGTGGCCTGTATGTTGGCGCTTTGTCATATATAGGTATATCTTTTGTTGTTGTACTTTGAATTTGTATCACAAGCAGTTATCCATTCAAGCACTCTTCAGAGAATAACTGCATTAATTTATATAACAGAATCTGTTTCGGGTTTGTAGATGAATTTTTTATTGGACTAGTCACTAAATCCTTACGACTGTTTCTTAAAACAAGTATTCCATCTGACTGAAAAACTCTTCTGCTACTAATATTTTTCTAAGGTCTTGCAACATGTTGCACAGAGTAAAGTAATTTTGTTCACCCCTCGGTTGTTTGTAATACCTTAAAATAATCGGGTTGGATATTGAATTATATAGTATGATATGATTTCTATCCGTCGTTTGCAAGTGATACCTTGAGTATAATGAATGTGGTATGGCCCACCTTTGGTTAAATCACTTATATCAGCAGTTCTTCAGCCAAATTTCGTCGGTAACATTAACTGAACATGCTTATGTTGTGGTATGAAACTGGGCACAATCGGACTACAACCACGCCTACTGCTAATATAACACTTTACATTGTAAAAATGTAGAATCAATGAAAATATCGGTATTTGCACGAATAGTGTCTCTAAGTTGTGGTATCTCTCTTCTTAAAACCCAAATACCGAATGCGTCAAGTTACGAACCTTTTGTCTTTTTATCGAAAATATGGCATAATTTGTAAGACATGTTAGCGAATCTATGTTAGCAACGTTTTCGATCCATCGCTTTTCCCAATAATAATATGTATCTTCATATATCTAAGGTAATGATTTCCACGATTCCGATTAAGTATAATCAAATTTCATCAAATAACTATCCAACATGTTACTACCACCGAAACTCCAATACATTAAAAGAATTAGCTTGGAAACTAACACATACACACCGTACAAGAGTTCAGTTCGCCCTAAAGAAACTCATAGAAACTTTAACAGAAGTTTCTGGTAGTGCTCCTGGGTAATTAACCGGTGACTTAACCGATAGTTGGCCACTAGGGTAATATTATATTCATGTTATGTACATATGACCTATGAATAAAAAGTTTTGCCTAAACCTGAAAATATTTTCATGTTTGACTACTGAAAATTTCGGGAGTACAAAAAAATCGGCTGCAACCAAACTAATCCATTTCTTACCTGCTTTATATACTTGTATGTACATATACTATACATTTTAGCGTAATTATACATAATTGGGAAGTGACGAACTCCAAAGGGATGCAAAAGTTGTTACTCTTCGAACTACGATTTTAGAAATTTCGAACTCTCAAAATCAGCATATAGTATTATTAGAGGCTTAAATTATATGTATATTTTTTCAATTTAGTTCTTAGTTTAAAAAAAAAACACAAGGTTTTTAATAACAGATCCCTCGAGTGGTATTTTTTCATAGCAAAATTAATTGTAGCCCGTTTACTATGTGTTAAAAGACTTTCTAGCATGTAGTAAATTGACATTTTTAGCATAATTCTTTTACTTGACCTTATTAATGCTTTTAGAGTTACTTTCCTTTACGTTTTCAACTCCACAATAGGAATTCGATCGACATTAACTCTTCATATGCCCAAAAGTGATTATTATGAACCAGCGATGTTTTACGAGCCTTTTCGATCATTCAAAATGGAGTGCAAAAATAAGCCTCAACATTATACAGTATTTTAGTAATATTTATCAATATTAATTTATACAATTTGTAAGTCTTTCTCTTGCAACTTGCACAGAACACTTGAATGTTCCACCATCGCCTAAGCTTCAATAATAATTTTACCTGAAACGACGACTTTTCCTATCTTATTTATTGTTCCAAAAAACATTTTGTTCGAGAAGTTTGCATACTACAATACTTGTAGTATAGTGTGCTTTATAGACGTGTGATTTTCAATAAGTCAATACTTTTTCCGTAGTTAGTCTTTCTGACAGGTGTTTCTTGATACTTGATATACTCAGTTTGGTTTGCCATTTCATAATAAACAGATTTACTAGGGAACGACGTTTGCAAATTGTGCAAATTTCGGTTCGCATTTAGAGTGAGAATAATCCACAAGCTATTGTTGAGACATCGGTACACCCTCAAAAGTCATTGTGTGCTCTTTGGGCAGAGGAAATCATTGGTCCATATTTCTTCAAAAATTAAGCCAGGCATAATATTAAATTCAATTTAAAACACTGTAAAGCCATTATTAATGATTTTTTCGTGTCTAAAACAGAGAATGTTGATGCGGATGACTTTTGGTTCCCACGAGATGGCTCAAGCTAGATGCCTTACAGCCAACGAAAAATCGATTTATTGAAGGAAAATTTTGGAGACGATTGACGCTTTGGAATAGAATATTCGGCATGTTATTGTTATTGTTGTTGCAAAGTGGTTGAAAGTAGGGCATCTCGGCTGGAATTTATTCAAGCCAGCCGCAGCGATTACTTGCCCGAAATCATTTCTAAAACATAATAGCTTAGTCCTTAGCTTTATAATAAAGCTAAATTCCTGGCCATAACAATTATATGCGTTTTATTTCATTTTGAAAACCACTTAAAAAAACACCCTTTATTTAAAGTACAAAAACTATTGTTTAGTTGGAATAAATACAACGGAGACCTATAAAAGAATTCTATATCTATGTAGGTCTTCTATCCCAGAGCAATGTGTGTGCTTTTAGGAATATCTGAGTAAATCTATGTAAGAGTATATTTAGCCTCTTCCGTTTTAACAGCACCCTATTTTGTACATATTTAAATAAATAAATAAGCATATAACATAAATATATATATATATATGTGGTTTCTATACTTGTGTGTGCCCTTGCATTTGTTATTATTACTATTGTGTTACATGCAAACGTGTCTGTTCGCGTTTATGTATTTGTAATTGTTGTTGTTTTAGCAATGCTTGTTGCTCGTGTTTTACACTTGCATCTATGTTAACTAAACTAAAACATGACAACAACAGGAATTGCAGCAATGTATTGCCTTGCCGGTGAGACACCTTTATTTTGAGCGGAAACACACACACATACACAGTTGCATATGTTCCTATATATACACATACATACATATACATATATTTATGTAAATAAATCATATCTGTGTATTAGCGCTGCAGTCGTCCACTTCCCTTTTAGCCAATTTGAACTTAGTTAAATTTCGGCTTCGTTCTTGCACTTATTGTTGTTGTTTTTTTGTTTTTTCTTTTGCATTTGGCAGCAATGCTTGTATAAATAAATTCATTCATTTACTCATACATGGAGTTTTGCCGCCATCATCGCGTGGGATCGCTTTGACGTCCATATTTGCTTTTTGTTGTTGGCTCCCTTGTCAGCGCTGTCATTGTGAGTTTACTTTTATTCGGTTTTATTTAGTATTTAATTATAAGTCTTTGTCAATTTTATTATACACATATAGAAATTATTATTGTTTTGCTGCTTTTCAATTGTTATTGTTCAGCAAGTCAATTTTATTCTATTTCTGCATTTTATTTTGCAGCTTTGTTTATGTTTAGTTTTCTTTTTCTTTCTCATTGTTTTAGTGTGCCTTTGTGTGTATTGATTGGTTTTTAAAACTAATCAAATTTATTAAATAAGAGATGGAGAAAATAAAATAGAATAAATATTAAAGTGTGGGTATTCATATAATGATATCGCACATCCAAACCATTTAAATATTGTGTAATATTAAATTTTTTATTTAGTGTGTTTTGAATAGATTTTCTTTAAATTTTAAATCAAGTTTATGTTTTTTCTTATGTTATATTTATATATTCGTACGAAACATATACATTTGTGTATTGTTTAAAAAATAACGGAAACATTTTTTTTCATATGTCGATTACATGCCCCTGAATTATGATAAAATTTTCAGCAGTATTCATTAGACGTATTTTTATGAGTTTGGCGATTTTCGTGTGTTAAAAGAAGTGAACACAGAATTTGTTCGTGAATTTTTGGCGAAAAACAATTCTGTAATGATGCTCCTATTCGTCTGACAAGGCGCCATGTGACTTTTTGTTTTTTCCAAAAATAAAGAGAACATATTAAGAAGCCGTCGTTTGACAAGCATAGATGACATTAAAGGCGCATTGCTGAAGGGGCTAAAGGCTATACCAAAAATCGTGTTTGAGAAAGGTTCCGAAGATGGAAAGAAGCGCTGGCATGAGTGCATAATATCGAATGGGCACTATTTTGAAAAATACAATATTAATGTAGACAAATGAAAAGAATGTTTTTTTCAATTCTTTATTATTTCAATTCAGCAATTCTATAAATAATTGTGCATATAGTTACTTAGTTGCTTTTTGGAATGACTTTTGAGTATAAGCAGAAATTAAATAGCTCACATATTAAAATTACTGTCTTATAAATAGTTAAAACTATTAATTAATTGTTTTGTCATTATTTCAAGCTAAAAGGAGTTATGTGATAAAAGAAATTGCAATAATATATAGAATAATCGTTCTCTACATTGCTAAAATACCGTTTGATCAACCTACCTGGACTGACAAAAAAAATATACATTTTCACGTGTTTCAATTTAAATCTTTATTATCGCCTTAAAAAAGCATCCTTTTGAGCCGGTACCAATATACCTACCTTTTATCCAATTTTTCTTACACTTGTTATAAATCTTGGCTGAGATGGCCTTTAGTGAATTCATTCAGCGAATGATTTTTATTGGGCTCATGGCGCATTCACCGAAGCAAAATTTTCAGTTTCAGAGTCAAATCTGGCGAATACGGTGGCTGAGCGATGATTTGTGTTTTGGCCAAAAAGTCAATCAGAACCATGTTAGAAAGTGACAGCGCATTATCATGGTGAAAATCCATGAAATTTCTTCCCAGGTCTAATCAGCAGCAATGATGCAATAAATGAATCTAGAGTCCTTAGCTTCGTTGTCAAGCATTTCTTTTGCGACCTCTACTCACCGTCTTTTTTGCACAGGTTTCAGGTCTTTTGGTACAAGTCTAGCATTGACATGCTTCATAGTCAAAATATTAACCATAAAGTACTGAGTCGATCCATAAGAGATGTAGAGATCCTCTGCTATATTTCTCTTGCCAACACGACGATTTTCAAGCCTTTCTTCTCGCATGAGGCAAATTATCGATGATGGCATGCTTTGTACCATTCAAATACTTGTGTTCGTGATAAAGTAGAGTCCCCAAAACCCTCCCACAACATTTTCAATGACTCCGTAGGTAAAAATCGTTCTACAAACTTTTAATGTGATTAACAAACAGCTGTCAAGCACTAATTTACATACATATAAAGATCTTAACACGAATATAAAAAAGTTGTACTAATCTAGGAAAAAATTATTTATCGATTCGGTTTGTCCGTGCAGTTTAAATGGACAAGCTTTAGTAATAACGGTACCAATATTGTATACAGCTTAGGTATTGTCAATCGATAATACTCAGTACTCGATAGCAGCTAAAATAAATTACCCAACACTTGCAAGGCCTCCAAAACTCTTAAGAGGATTCAGGATTAAAAAACTGTCGAGAATATATAAAATTAAAAAAATGAAATAAAGAAAATTGTGAAAATACTTTGAGCATTTACGAAATTTATAAAGCATTTTTGTATGAAGAAATTTTGTTTTATATTTTTAATAACAATTTTTTATGTGAGAAAACCCCCATATACGTATTTTGAATCTACATAGCCTAAAAAAATGCGCTGCGTTAATTTTTGATGACTACATATTTTAATGCATTAAAATTTAATCTAAAATTTTCCCATAACTAAACTATATTTCCATTCTTCTTCTTACAGAGTAACCCCTATGCACTGAAAGAAGGCAACGCTGGCTCTGACATGTCTGCTTGGACCTCAGCTAGTTTGCAGCCCACCACTGGTTATTATTCATATGATCCCATTGCCGCTTATGGGTAAGTAATCAGAGACATTTATCTGCAATTATTAAGTTTCACACAAAAAACAAAAAACAAAAAAAAATATATTATCAGCGAACTACTTATTTATAAATAATATGTATGCATGTGCAAGCACAACAACAGAAATAAGAAATAAATCTTAAGCACTTGAACGTAAACGCGATGACTTATGAGGTGTTGACAATATGTTGCATGGTCTTTATACTCATAAGTGGCTTATCAGTGAGCCAGCGACTTTCTTCTCATGACCTCACACGCTGTGGTTGTGGCGTGTGTCAGCTAACGGTTGTTGTAAGTGGGACACGCTATGTATGTGATTTATTACTTACTTACTGCCAAAACAGCAGTTTCGGTTTTTGTTAGCGTCTACGCCGCCAAGCGTTAAACGAGCGAGATTAACAAGTTTTCTTCGATTTAATGAAAGACTTAAATATTATTATTGTGCGTTAAAATTCTCTTTATATTCTATTTAAACACTCTTAACTATTGATATCATGTGGAAGTGAATGAATTTCTATTTAAGTAAAAAAGACAACTAACTCAGCCAATAACGACACTAGAGATTTTCTATTTGCCCGCAAGCCGCAGTCGGCTGCTGCGTTCACTATGAGAGTGCGACGAGCTTGTCTGCGGTTAAGTGCCACAAAAAATGGCGTATAACACAAGCACAGCAACAACGAAGCAACTTTGTCTATGAACCCAACTAAATCCCTCGCGTACATTCGTAGTCTGTGGCAGTTCAACAAGTGGTGCATCCTTCGCTGCTTCAATGTGCTGTCGTCCACATCGCCCGATTTCATCTCCTTTCGTTGGTATCAACAATATGTTTTCTTTGCCGTTCTGACTACAAGTATAACAGTTACTTCTTTTTTATTTCGTGCGTTTAGTTACTAGCTATTTGTGTTTGTAGCTGTTATTGTTTTCCAAATGGGACACTTAAAATTATCGAAAGATTTAAATTCGTTGTGCGTTCAGTCGTGGTTAAAAAGCTTTTATTATGGCCAGCTGTCACTTTCAAGGATTTTGCTGTGAATTTTCACGCTAAAGCTGCTAAAGTTCAAGCGTTTTAGGATTCTGTTGTTTAAAAAATTAATTTGTTGGTTTAAAGACTTAAAAGGATTTGTATTGGAAAGCTTTTAATTTAGTTTCATGTAATAGAGAAATTAATCCAAATTAACTGAACTTGTTCAGAGCTTAAGTCAAGAGAAAGTGGTGTTTGTGCAATATTTCATTCAAAATTTTTTAAAATTTTATTGCAATGTACAAGCTACTACAAGTAAATGATATAATTTGCAGAATTTAGATGTTATAAATATTTTTTATGAACTAAAATTTAATAGTTTTTCGGTGGTCAGTATCCCTCAAAGAATTATATCGTATATAATTTTTCGTAATTCAAATTATTCATTTATTAAAAATATATATTTACAAGTAATAAATTATAAATATTTCAAAAAGGAATGATCGTAAAGCGAATATCTAAATAAAAACTCTTAAATAAATCTCTAAATTGAGTTGACATTGGTTTTAGTAGCGGCTTTATATATTCACCTCTGCCAAATAAGAGGCCAGGTCTGTTGGTCTGGAATTGTGCTGGAAGTTAGATTTTCAATTGGATGTGGATTTGAAACTGGGTTTTTAATCAACCATTTTTTAAACAAAATATTTTATTAAAAGTTAAAAATCTATTTGTAATGCCAATGTCATGGTCAATACGAAACATTTGGGAAATAATAATTGAATACTTTTCTTTTTTAATTTTAATGTGTAAGTTTGCCGACCAGTGCTCTAGAGTATTGAATATGATATATCTGTGCGAACTCTAGTTTATAATATGTAGTAGAACATAAAGTACGTAAACGCGAGAAAATTCTTAGACAATTTTTTTTTTTTAATTTTCATTTATATGTTAGGGATTACGTCTTTTTCAATCCAGTATTTGGGAGTAAAAATTAAATAATTTCAATCAAAACGTAAATTATTTTAAATATAAATAAATTTTAAAATTTTAAGGCACTGAAGGCTATCTCCGCCGAGATTTATAACAAGTTTACAAAGAATGTGATTTAGCTCAGCAGCCTATGTCGAAGGCGATAATAAAGACTTTAATTGAAATGTGTTAAAATTTAAGGACTTGTTGCACCAAATATTTTTTGATAGCCTTGATAATATTTGATCACATGCAACTTGTAGAAGACTAATTTTGTAAATAATTTTTAAATTCTTAAAATTCTGCTTGTGTTGAGTATTTGTTGTTGTAGCGAAAAAAAATAAAACATTCCTTATGGTAATAGTTCTAGGAGTCTAATCCCCAGCTGATAATCCAAGTATTATATTTAATCTGAGAAGAAGACCTACTTAATCCTAACAAGAGAAAAATGTGGAGTTTCAAGTATAATTATAGTAATATAACTGTTATGTAGTGCCTAACCAGATAGTATAGTATTTTAGTATTTTATTGTAGCGCAGGTTTCGTTTTTGGTTAGTTACTTGACCGCAAAGACAAATTTAAGAGCCGAGCAATTTTATAATTTTTGAATAGCATGTGGAGCTAGAACATTTATCCTTGTACAGTCTAAATTTTTTTTACCCTAAACAGAGTATATTAAGCTTGCTATGAAGCTGAAGGAAACGTCGGAGACCCTATAAAGTATATACATAAATGATCAGCATGACGAGCTAGTCGATGCAGCCATATATATACGCTAACTACTCCCTCAGGTTTAGAGATATTGATCTGTGTGAAAACACGTCTTTATCTCCTCATGAACGATCAAAATCATGGCTTTGTATGAAAAACTTTTTTATTTGACAAGATAACTTCACGAAATTTGAAATGGATTATCAGCCAAGTCAACGGTAACGAATAAATTATTCAGATCGGATCACTATAGCATATAGCTGACATAAAAATTGACTTTTGACAGACTGATTTTTTTGTATTTGTGAAGGGTATTATAGCGTCGGTGCAATCAAAGTTAACGTTTCTTCTTGTTTTTACCTCGGATGAGAAAACTTCTTGCAAGTTAAAACTCAAAGTTAGACCCTATTTTGCTCTTCCTCTCTTCTAAACGAGGCCGTAACGAAAAATTCGCTTAAAAAGTGTGCGAAAAATTCTCTCCTCTTTCGCTGTGATCGTGTTTGTTGTGAATGCGGTACATTATGAGACACTGTGTCATTGGGAAGTCAGTACGTGGCCGTACGAACTACTGATCTCATCTGTATGCTATGTGTGCAGTCAACTTCCGATCAATGAGCGCGATAATCAATTCTAAGTAAATCCATTTAGAGTTTAATGGATCGTACTTTGATCAATCTGCGCACTATTTATATATCATTAATAAGATAATAAGTATAGACACAAAATAATCGATACATATGTATATACAAAATATTTATTATGTGCCCAATAATGGCAATATCTTTATTTTGCACATACTCCACGTATTATTAAAAATGAATGCTTATCGATTAAATGCACTTACAGATATGGCATCAAAGAGCTTACTTAGATAATACCGCCAATAACACTAATACATATTAGCGTTGATTAGGTAAGCTAAACTGCAACTCCATTCCAAAACCATATTCAAGTCAAGTCAATTACTGTACCAAGGTGTCTCCGGTGCAGATAACAAAATTACTCAACTAAAAGCGCAAAAGTTAGCGCACAGCGCTCGTGTGCTGCCATGGCGGTGGCGGTGTTGTTGGCAGGAGTTGGTGATTGAGGCGGTGGCGACGGCAATGGCTACAATGACAGTATTACTGGCTTAATCAACATTCCAACTGACAATTAGTTGTTCATATTTCATATAGTGGTTGTTGTTGTTTTTCTTCTAAATTTCAAAGTTTGCAATGTGTGCTTGTGTGCTTGTCTAGTGGAGCTTTGATTACACTATTGACGTTATCGCGGCGGTTGTTAGCCAGTTGTTGTTGTTGTTACTGTTAATGTTATTATTTTTGTTGTTCGATTGTGCGGTTGACGCTTTGGCAATATTTACAAATTGCACACTCGATAGCGCTTTGAGGCACAGCCGACACTTAATTGCCGTCACTCGACTTGAGTGAATCAAGCGAGTATTTATTTACATATTGTATATGTATATGTACTTATATATATTTCGAATTGTTTTAATTGACCGCTTAAAGCTAGCGATTTAATACTTGAATCACTTGGAAGGCGATGAAGCTTGGTGGGGAAAACATTAAGACGATTTTAATCTAATTAAGCTTGAGTTCTTTATTAAAATACAAGAAAAACCGTTCACTTCGGTAGCACCGGAGCTATGAAATCTTTCTGAGCTGCATTTCTTATAAATTTATCGGTTTTTTGACATATATATGCGATAGTTATCCGATCTGAATAACATGTGCACAGATCGTAGGGTTGTATTGGTGAGAAAACCATGCCACATTTCATGAAGATACCTTGGCAAATAAAAAGGTGTTCCATGCAAGAACTTGATTATTTTGAACATCTGATCGTTCAGTTTGTATGGCAGCTATACCCTACATTTGTCCGATTGTTATTAAATCCTGCAATTATCACATTCTAACGGTAATTTTTAAAAATATTTAAAAAAAATTGTTTTTTTTTTCAGTTACGGTTCCAGTTATGACTTGGCGGCACGCCGCAAGAACGCCACACGTGAGTCCACAGCCACGCTTAAGGCCTGGCTCAGTGAGCACAAGAAGAATCCTTACCCCACCAAAGGTGAGAAAATAATGTTGGCCATCATTACAAAGATGACGCTGACACAGGTCTCCACATGGTTCGCGAATGCGCGCCGACGGCTCAAGAAGGAGAATAAAATGACTTGGGAACCAAAGAATAAAACCGATGACGATGATGAAGCAATGCTGTCGGACGATGAGAAGGAAAAAGATGCCGATGAGATTGATAAGCTGAGCAGTGGTAATGTTGGCGCTTCCGACGTCGTTGGAGGTGTTTACGGTGGCGCAGCTATGAGTGGCAGTGACTTGCGTAAAGGTGAGTAAGTGATCTTAATTATTAAATGTTTATTATGTGGAATATATTATCAAGTGAAGTGTGTGTGTTATAGTTTTTCGTAGATTAGTTATATCACTATTCTCTAACTTAAGTAGGTAATATAAAGGTTATTTAATTTAATTTAAGCCTTCAAGATTTGTCAATTTAAGTTTACTTTTAAGTGCTTTACTGCCCTAAGTCAACGTCAGACACGCCATTTGGTAATTGTTGTTGCTTTATTTGTTTTTAGTAAACTCTCAACCGTTGATTTGCACTTTGGCATCGCTTATGGTTACACTCTGTTTCTTAAGGTCGTTTCCTTGCCTTAAGTACTTCAGCAGCACAAAGTGATGACCGCACTCCTTTTGGTCCGTCGCATGAGGGTTGTTGGCCTTTTGTTGCACTGCAAATGAGGGTGGTGCGAAAAATATTTGATGTAGAAAATTTAGAGATGTGAAATAATATTTTTGGTTATTACCGCTATATAGTTTAAAAGTCTTATATATTGATATAAAAATTAAAGTTATGTAGCTCGCGAAAAAAAGCGTGTTAAAACACCGGTAGCTATAATTTATAGTCTTTTTTCCAATCACAGTCCACCTTGTTAGCCAGCTTTATTTTACTGAACAAAGGATTTGTAAATATTGGTCATTCCCAAAGCCCTCCTGAAATCTTATTTGAGGTAGAAATACGGTTCAAAATTTTCCAGGGATCCTATGCTTGTAAGAATAATTCGTTAAAGACCTAACGTGTTATCCGTTCTTTCCTATACTCCCTTAGGGTTGAGTAAGGTTAAAAACTCACATTTGAAACTAATTTAGATTTTTAATTGTTGTAACCATATATCAAAATGGTACTATAACTTAAACAGAGGTCCATTTTAAGGGTTGTGAGCTCAAATTTCCTAAAAAAAATTTCAGGGCAGCTTGGGAGAATATTGACAAGAAGTTCAGCAAAAAAGTGTTTAAAGAAACCTCAAAAGCTTCGAGATCTATAATTTTGGGCACAAAAAGAACGCAAAAAAGTAATTGCCTTAATACTGCTAGTGAAGTAATGCAAATTACTAATTTTGTAACTGTTTTATTTAAGTATTCGCTATCAAAATGGTCTGCTTACAAAAGTCTAAAGGTCGCTGTAAAGACTTCAAAAATTCTTTTAATCATAAAAGCAGAAACTGAAAAGCTGTGTAACTTGCTATTATCACCTCGACTTGAATACTTTCACTCCAAAATTTATCCATTTTAGATCAATAAAAGTTAAGTTATACGAAACTACAAAGCAAAACTACTCTTTAATCTTTTTAGTCACAAACTTTAATTTTCATATGTCTTGCGTAATTTTCGAACCACCCTAATGAACAACATATTGTAACGAAACGCGCCAAAATTTCGCTTGCCAAAATCAGTGCTTGCTTCAACAAAGCGCAACAAAGCGTTTACGAGCTCATGTACTGCCAGCATAGGGGTTGGCTTTTTGGCTGGCGGCTCATTCACTTTAAGTGATATTTATGTGGCGCGACATTTCGCATTCCCCCTTTTGTCTTCTTCCACTCACTAACTGCCACTTGTGGGCCGTTGTTGTTTTCCATGCATTTACACACACATATGTTGTTGTTATTGCTAGCTTTTGCACTGATATTGACAATTATACAACTGAGCTGCCTCGACTGCTGGTCGGCGGCGGCCGGAAATGGCTGGCATATGGCTGCCATTGACTTAAGGGCTGTTCGGTGGGCTGTGCAACAACGCCTTTAAGTGGCCCCGGCAAATGCTGCGACTTTTACCAAATTAAGTTAACTTCAAGACAAGACAACAGCGAGTAGAGTAAACACGAGTGAACTGCTTGTGAAATTACTGCATAAAAGGAGGGTTGAGTGGATTCAAAGTAACGGAAGATGAAATATTTTTTAGCTGAAAGTTGTGGCATTGCGAGGGCTGAGCGCTTCAACGCCTACGGAAATGGTAGCCCAAAGCAGGGTTGGCAACTTTTTTGACAAATACGTAGGATTGCTCTCACTTTTGTTTTTGTTGTTGTCGTAACTTAACTATTGTGTATGACTCTTTGGTGTAATTGTGCGAGTTATCAGAGATTTCCGCACTCAATTCGCAAACAAACTGAAATTAAATTAATTTGCATATTCCACTCTCCTCTCACTCTTTTGCAGATGACCCAGTAGTGAAGTCCGAATTATTGGGGAAGGAGGACAAAATGGATGGTTGCCCAATGGATGAACCGAAATTCGGCGATATACCCTCCCTACGCAATATGAGTGGTGTCTACAATTCACCATATGGACAACATCCCAGCTATCATCCTTACCAACAACAACATACATCAGCTTACTACCAACAACAGCAACAGCAGCAGCATGCAGTTAGTATGACTTACGGCACACCAAGCCAAATCAACGCAGCGGATGAGTATAATGTCTCAAAAAACCTGCTGCGTGCGGCGGACTGTGGTATACCGCTCCCAGCGAGCAAACCCAAGATCTGGAGTTTGGCAGACACGGTCGCTTGCAAGACACCGCCACCTCCGCCGCCGCCGCCGCTGGCCACATTGCCACCACCTATACAAATGAACACATATCAGCAGCAGCAGCAGCAGCAGCTACAACAACAACAACAGCAACAATCGTTGCTGCAGAGCCGATCGCAATACTATCAACAAATGCCGACACACTTGCAACAGCTCAGTCAACTCAATCCACACAGCAGCAGCAACACGCAGCCAGCGCACAACAACAACAGCAGCAGCAACAGCAACAGCAACAATTCGACATCGCTGAGTATGATGAACGGCTACGTCGGCGCATTGCCTTATTCGCGCATACCTACGGCGTACGCGGCAACTGGCAGCAGCAACAACAACAGCAACGCTCAATTTCTCAATCTCAGCTCCAGCAACATCAGCAGCACTGGCAATGGCAGCAACAACCACAACGCCAATATTGGCAGTGGCAGCAGCAACAGTAGCGCCTCCACACCACCTTCAATGACGCAAGGACCACCGCTGCTGACAGCACAACAGTATCACCAGCTGCAGCAACAACAACAGCAACAGCAGCGTTTGGGTTTCACTGAAATACAGCCGGATACGCCGCCACAAACGCCACCCAACATGAAATTGGTGAGCGCCGGCGGCAGCAGCGGTGGCATCGCTTTGAATCAGCTGGCGCGCAACGGCTTAATGTCGACGCCTACGAGCGTCGCGGCTGGCATGTGCTACAACGGTGGTAATGGTATCGGTGTGTCGCAAGGCGCGTACGGCGCGGGATTGGGTTCGAATGTTGGTATCAATTACGCGTTGGCAGCGGCACGTGCTGAGGGCTGAGTGGAGACAGGTGTAGACCATGAGTTAATCAGATGCTGAAGTAAAGCTGACAACAACAATTAGTGCGCGCAACTCGTGTCATCTGTGGGACATGTGCAACAACAAAAACATGCAATCAATTGTAAAAATATAAATTAATTGAAAATTTTGAAGCAAAAAACGCAGCGCTTTCGGACGGTGGAAGTAAGTCACACTAGTTTTTTAATTAGTTTTTCTTGTACAACAACGTCGTATATATGTATATACACTGCAAAACCGTTGATCGCAGAAGTGCCTGCCGTCACAATTTAAACGCGCTAATTATTTTACAATAAAAACGTAATTTGAGTAAGCGGCAATAAAAAGTGTTTATTGCAATTCGCGTGCGTGGAAAAAAGGTCGCCTGTCGGCTGCTAAATTCAACACGCGCGCGCGCACAGTAAAACAAAAATAATAAAAACATAACGCAAAAACTAGATGAAAACAGTTAAAGTAATAACTGAAGACTTAAGGCGCGAACTTGCCGCAGCAAATACATGAAAATATGGAGAGGGTGGTTGCGGCGAATTGCTTGTGCTGTTGCAGTTGTTATTGTGCAATTAATAGTGCTTTATTAATACAGCAATAAAAGCGAGTTAAAGCATACGCACATCCTATTAGTCACACCAGCGACGGGTTAACGACTCTTTCTACAGTAGCAGCCACAACTAAGCGGCAAACCGCCGCTGCAACAATAACACTATCGGTAACAAGCGCAAAGGTGTTGTAAAAATAACAATTAAACCTTGATAAAATGCTTGTAAAACTTATAAATTAAGATTAAAAGCACATTAAAAAAATAGCAATTAAAAAGTGCTAAAAATAAACGCGTACACATACACGCGGCATACATTTGCTGTTGGCGAAAAATGTGGAGTGGTTCGGAAACATGTTTACAAAATATAAAATAATGATAAAATTATTAAAACCAACAAGAAACTAAAAATAATAATCATAAATAACTTTATTAATAATAATAATTATAATAATAATCATCGTCATAATCATAATAGTAATCATAATAATAACATTACATAATGAAAAATAACCACAACAGCAAAATTAATAAAAAGAAACTGTGAATAAAAATGTATTTTCAATTTCAGAAAAAAATAAGTGTAGAAGATTTAGGTCTGTCAATTTCCCATTGATATCAAAATTTTCTTTTATTGTGACCCCCATTAGTAGCCAATGTCTATCCTGCGACAATCATATTCACATTTCAACTTTCTCGCACGAAAAGCTTTGGAGTCTGCGTAAAACTTAATAGAGTTTATATTTGGCGGTAAAACAGAGGCAAACATTTTATGACAGTATCATCCTATTTTAGACCGCATAGCATTTTATATAACATAACATAAAAAACGTTAACTTCGGCTGCACTTAAGCTAATATACTCTTCACAAGTGCATTTGCTATAGCATAAAAAAGTATAAAAATATCTTTATCTTGAATTTGGTTTATCAGTTTATAAGACAGCTATATGCTAGAGTAGTTTGATCTAAACCATTTCTTCGGATATTGTACCGTTGCCTTGGACAGTAATCTGTGCCAAATTTCGTAATGATATGTGTGGATGATTATGACTGGACTTTACCAATCAGTTTGTATAATAGCTAAATGCTATAGTGGACCAATGTCGGCGGTTTCAGACAAATAAACATTTTCTTGAGGAAAAAAGATGTGTCCCAAATTTCAGTTCGATATCTCTAAAACTGCGTTCGTGTATGTACAGACGAAAAGTCAGACATACATGGCAAAATCGACTGGATTAGTCACGCTGATCATTAATATGTAGCATATATTTTATAGGGTCTTCGATGTTTCTTTCTGCGTATTACAAACCTCGCGGCAAACTTAATATATATACGTTATAATAACAGCGTGTAAATATGGTGAGCGTGAAAGGTATGAAAACTTTTGTTTGTAACTTTGCCTTTTCGCTGTTGCTAATGATTTGTAATTTAAAGCATAAATATTTGTATTGTTTATTTATTTATTTTTTTATTATTATTATTTTATTATTATTTTTATTTGTTTCAAAGCATCGATTTTTGTTGTTTTTTATTTTACTTATTATTTGTTTACTAGTTTACTCGATTTCATAACATCTATGGTTAAAAAGAAAAGAACTAAATAAGTAATCAAGAAAATTTTAAAATATAAAAAATTAAAAAAATGCTCTAAAACATAAAGGATATAACAAAATATGTTTTCGGATCACCCACTATGCTAACGACTTGCTCTAAATATATACAACTCCTCATAAGTACCACTTATGTAGATATGTATGGGCATCGTATAAAAATCAGCAAAACCAAAAACAAACTTATTTAATTATTAACACACTTACATTAAATTTTCATTATTCGCACCGAAAAAAATACGCAAAACAAATAATGATTGCTCATAACTGACTTAATAACAGCAATAAAAAATTTACAGAAAACTTTTGAATTAAAAGCACATGTACATATTGCTAGATCAACTACTTTTGCGTGTGCGTTGCCGAGATACGTATATAATATTATAATGTGTACATATAAACATATATGTATATACACATGCATATTAACCTAGTTAAAATATGTTTTGCTGCAGCAATTGTAATAGGAATAGTACACACATACATATGTATATACACAAGTATACACATATATATATACATAGGTGCATAACGGTAGCACATTTATGGCATACAACAAACGCAAAATTATTAATTAAGACACCTGCCAATTAATTTGTTGTTTAACTTGTGTGTAATAATAGCAAATAGCAATAACAACTACAACAAATTACAAGTAATTTAATCAATATAAATAGTATTACTTACAATGGTATAAAAATATATATATTGTAAAAATATATACATGTATAAATTAATAACGTAAATTATTCAATACATAAACAAACACACACGAATATAATTGCAATTCGAAATTCAGTAAAAATAATTAATATATATAATGCAATAATATTAATTACATATATTCTATTCTATAATTATTTGTTTCATGTATATACTAGCGTTACATATACATACACAGTTACATGTATAAACACATACCTACATAATTGCAATACGATTAAGTAAAAATTAAAATCTGTGATAAATATTACTATTGAAATGTAAAGAAAACCATGAAATTCCTAAGCACTTAGGTTGCAATTGAATGTAAATAAAATAAATATAAGAGCAGAGAAGAGAGGAGAGAAAAAAACACACAATAACAAATAATATATATCGTAAAATTATATCGTAAATTTAAATCTTGTTGATTCGCATAATTGATTGATAAAACTAATTAATTTCTAAGTACACTTATAACTCAAATTTAAATAAAGAAATCATATACTACATTTAAATTTATATTATTTTGATGCTATGTCTGTAGGTTTAACCTTGAGAGGGTAATAGTTTTAAGTGCTGAGACTATAAGGCTTCCTCGTAAGGAGAAATGCTAAATTTCTGCTACGCTAATAACTTCTTTCGTTTTTGGAAAACACAAAGGTCTTATATACACCACTTTGCGCAAGTATTGAGATTACATATTTTCTTTCTTTGGTCAAAATATTACGATAATTCTGTCAATTCGATGCAAAATAGATGCAAGTGCGTTTAGGATTAAATATATGCTTTCTCGGCAGTTTTCAAGCAGCGCTCTTTTTATTTTTTGGATGTTATCATAAATTAATATTCATATGTATTTTTCTTTTTTTAGAACAATGCTTAATATTATACAATTTACAAGAAAATCGACTTTGAGTCTAAAACTAAGAAAGTGCAATATTTAAAATTTTTTCGGTTATATTAATTTGTTAATACTGTAATTACATGTAATATTTAGCTGGTGATCTATTAAAAAGCTGTAAATAACCCTTTTGACGAATTTGTGTTAGGAGAAATTCTATAGCAATCTACTCGAGTCAAATAAAAGTGACTTTGCTACTGCACTGAAGAACATATGTTTGTATCTTATCTATAAACGGTATCACCTGAACGAGTGAATCGTATCATTTTAAAGAAAATCGATTATATCTTCAAACTTTCCGAAATCATTTTTGTATTTTAATTGGTTTCATGTTTCAAAATAAACTTGAATATTGAAAACTTTTTTCAGCGACTATCTGGAAGCAAAAACAAAAAATGGGTGATGTTCAGATCCGAAGAATAGGCTGAAAGCGCAAGCAATTCGAACCCATTCCTTGTATTTTTGCTAGCGTTTACATTGCTTTGTAGGAACGTGAATCGGTGGGAAGATGTCTACTTTCTGCAGAAATTTTCCACGCCCAAATTTTTTGGAACGATAACTAACTAACATTTTCTTTTGAAAATCTTCTTTCACGGTCTAGCAAAATCATGTGGCTTCTGAGACTTTGTACTTTTGACCCACCGAAACTTGGTGAGCAACTTCCTTTGAATTTCGATCAGGGTTATGTGTGGGTATATACTATTTTTCGTTTCTAGTCAAATTATTAAAACCAAATCATGTCTTTTGACACGCATTGAGTTAACTAAATGGATTTAAATTGGTTTATAAGAAAAAAGGAGAGCATTTATAATCTGTCTCGTGGTAACTCGTCTATTTTTGCGCAGATATTTCCTTAATCAGTTATAAAAGTTGTGGATTGCGACCGACTCGCGCAAGGTACATCATTTTCCTACATTATAACGAATATTTTTTGAAACTTAAATTCTCGATGAAAATGGCCATTTAGAAGCATCTTTGCGTCATTTTCAATATTCGTTGCATTTTCGCTGCATTCATTGCACACATAAAATTTATAGCAATGACAAACTTTTTAATTTTTTTATTAATCGACAATTTTGGAATTGCTAAAATAAAATGTAGTTCTAGCAAACAATGATACGATTGGTCAAATATGCACCCGTTTGTTAGATAAATTGTTGCAGTTTTGAAGGTAATTTCATAATTTCACCTCATAGAAACGCTGATCTCTATCGGAAAAAATCGAGGACAGTTGGTTTTCACAAACTTCTTTTGAATTTTTCAGCAGCAAAATATATAGGAACAGGTAATAAACACTTAATGTCAGTTCCGGACTATAAGATGGATATACAAGTATAATATAAGAACCTCTAAAAAAAACTCCCTAAACTTCTAGCGAGTCACTCTCGATATGTTAGTGTTGTTCACAATTCTTCTTCTATTGGCCGTTTGTAGTGATGGTCGGATTCGATGATTTCCATTATTTTATTGATATTTTCGACATTAATAACAGTTAAAACAGAATCGACCAAATAAAACATACTACAACGAAAAACCACAAACAACACTCAACATTATTAAGTGACTACATAAAATGTGAATTATTATAATTAGTACGGAGTCAGCAAAACTCACAGCTATTAATTACGAAACGAAAAACTACGAATTGAAAGAGAAGCATTTCAAGAAATCCCCCGAAATTCAAAAATCTCACAAAAATACCAGGAAGGTTAAAAAGATCGTTTAGTCAGGCGCATAGCAATAATTTAACTGTGATCTAAATGTGGCTTCGTAGCGCAGCAGTAGTCAGATTAGAGTGTTTTATATCAAATTATTATACTATTATACCACACAAAGATACGAAGAGAGAACAAGTAGAGAGATGATAAATTAATCGCTTCGATTTTCTCGCATTTGCTTGGGATCGGCGAGCGAAAGTCAATAGGGTAAATGGTGTGTACAGGCGCAGCAGGCGCGTTAAAGATTCATGGGAGTTCCAAGCGGATCAAATTTTAACAATGCTGAGAAGTGGAGATAAATAGCCGAAGATATGTAGTTGTAATATGAATGGACGTATTGCTATTGAGTGTGTGTGTGTGTGTTTCATATCTTCAAGAAAGATGCTCGACTAGGAATGAAAGAATCGACGAACCAAATATCATTAATAGAAGTGACCAAACTCACTGACGACGGCGTAATTGGTTATATGAAGTGGAACGCATCATTGTGTTGTGAGCGTGTGCGATATTAATAGTAGTCGTGGCAGTTAATCATTGCCGATTGCTACCTGCTGGACGGACACATAGGACGCGATATGAATTTTAGAGCGTCAAGCAGCGCAAATAACCCATTAAATGCCACAAAGGCCAACAATAAAAATTAAAAACGCATTCATTTAAGTGGCAAGTAGCCACTGAAAGCCACTGAAGAAGACTACGAACAGGGTTACAGAATCCATCAAGTTGCCCCAACATATGTACATATGTGTATGTAAAACGAGCTGTGGATGGAAGATACTTGGAAAAACCAGTAGCAGTTGCTTATGACAGTTGAAAAATGACAACTAATCAGTTTTAGCCTTTTTGGTTAGTACGTCTTTAGTAGAGAGAAAAAAAATTTCATTCTTCAATACGAGCAGTATGCAAGGGCGGCCCGATAAATATTTATCCGACTAGAGACAAATGAAAATTCTGGCAAAATGGCAATTTATTTATTAAAACTTTACACATATTTTTTTTTACATCAATACACTTAACCCAGCGATGCTCGAACTTCCTTAAACCTATTTTAAAAATACATTTCTTGGAGGTGGCGACGGCGAAGATGTGAGTCACATTGTCATGCTGGAAGAGCACTTTTCCTTTGCTCAAAAGGGCGTTGTTTTTGCAACTCTGCGTCGTTTCGATTTAGAATAGAACTTGTGAATTCCATAAAATGGTGCTCATCAGTTTTTGCTTTCTTCAGAGTAAGATCAACGGGTAAAGTGCGCTGTTTCGACTGTTCCTTGGTCTTTGTTTGACGTCTTCGGTTTGCGCTAAAATAGCTCGTGAATGGGCTTCCATTCTGAAGTGGGCCAACCACTTAATAATGCTCAATATTTCATGCAGGAATGACCCGCACTATCTTTTGAGATGCCTAATATACTTATCAATCATCTTACGCATGGACTTTACTCACATTATCTTCTAGGGCACCTAGATGTGGCTCATCGAAAATTGATTGGTGAACACATTGAAACTCAATAAACTAAGAAGATAGAAGGAGAAAAGTCATCGTATACAGTAGCCAAGCCCACTTTGATCAAATCAACGAACGACATTTCTCTTTTTCCAGTTTTGTAAAATCCGTTTGCACAGGCAGCCAAAACAAAACTAAGACCCTGATTCGGCGGCAGCAATGGACTACGAGAACATACTAGTATAGCAAGGTTCTATTGCGATAGTGGCGTCATCGTGCGATGAGGCAAAATTATTTTGAACCGCCCTCGTATGTATATATGTTTTTAGACGTCCAACAGCCGGATGACTTAGTGCTTATGTTGTTGTGCAGTCAACTATTGGCGGTTAAACCGAAATTTTATTCCTGGGAAAACTCCTCCAATAGCAGCCGCTCCATTGCTTATGGTCAAAACGTGAAGATAGCAAGCGGGCACTTGCAACAGGTTGAGAATGGATGCTGGACGATCGGTTGGCAATGTAAATGTGTGCGGATAAGCTGGTGGATAAAAAAAAATGATGACACAACTTATCACATTGTCGGAATCTTAACTCAATGGGCTCAAGGCAATCATAATCATCATCGCGAGAAAATCAAGCAAATGCAGACAGGTAGAGAGGCAATGAGATGGCAGGGTAGAAAGGCCTGAAGAGATGGTAGCCGCAGCCGTTGCATCAATGAACGCAGCACAGTGCCTGACGCTTAGACGGTTGGACGGTAGGCTGGACCGACAGGAGTCACACAGTGGTCATAAGTATTCACCTCATATCACACATTTCGGTAACTGACTATTGTGTAGTGTCGGCAGTGGTGGCAAGCCGTTCGTTAGCTGTCGCAATGCTCGCTGCTCAAGGAGCAAGTGCTTTTTTGTACGATCGTCACACGCTCCTGCCCGACCGCGATGCTCACTCGTATAGATATATGAATGTATGTGGCATCGCTATCATTCATCAACTGAAGCGGTGGCTCTTGCGCAGCGGTATGACTTCACCTGATGATCATTGAAAAAATTACCGTCATTAATAACAGAAAAAATAGAAATAAAATTAAAAGAAAAAAGCGATACCTTCACAACTGTTGCATACACACACATATACAAGCATTTTATTAGCATTTCGTTGTTAGTTTTTGCCTTCGCCGTCGACTACTTTTTTAGCTGTATCGCTCATTTCGTCTGAAGTGTTTTTCATGTTCAACTCGGCGTTTCGCTGTTTGACTTTTTCGCCTTTTTTCAGCATTCCTTTTTTTTTATTAATGTGTTTCAATTAATTATATGGGAGTGCGCGCACGGCTGAAAATGTCGAGTGTATTACAAGCACACACACACTATCTACATACATACTTTTACAGTAAGTCCATATATTGGCGGCCTACTCAGCGTGCCTATTTAACAATTTTGTGACATTAGAAGAA